CAGTCCCACCAACAGTGCACCAGGGTTCCCTTTTCTCCACAACCTCGCCAGCACTTGTTGTTTGTTGATTTATTGATGATAGCCATTCTGACCGGAGTGAAGTTGTATCTCATTGTGGTTTTTATTTGCATTTCTTTAATGATTAGTGAGGTTGAACATTTTTTCATGTGTCTGTTGGCCATCTGAATGCCCTCTTTAGAGAAATGTCTCTTCATATCCTCTGCCCATTTTTTAATTGGGTTATTTGGGGGTTTTTTGGTGTTGAGTTGAATGAGAGTTTTGTAAATTTTGGATATTAACCCCTTATCAGATAGATCATTGGCAAATACCTTCTCCCATTCAGTAGGCTGCCTTTTTGTTTTATTGATGATTTCCTTTGCTGTGAAAAAACTTTTAAGTTTGATGTAATCCCATATGTTTATTTTTTCTTTTATTTCCCTTGCCTGAGGGGATATATCAGTAAAAATATTACTGAGGATAATGTCTGCAAATTTACTCCCTATGTTTTCTTCTTGGAGTCTTATGGTTTCAGGTTTTATATTTAAGTCTTTAATCCATTTTGAATGTGTTCTCATATATGGCATAAGTAGGTGGTCCATTTTCATTTTTTGCACATGTCAGTCCAATTTTCCCAGCACCATTTATTCAATAGATTAACTTTACTCCAATGTGAATTCTTGCTTCCATTGTCATAGATTAAACAACCATATATGGATGGGTTTATTTCTGGGCTCTCTATTCTGTTCCATTGATCTATGTGTCTGTTTTTATGCCAGTACCATGCTGTTTTGAATACTATAGCCTTGTAGTATGATTTGATGTCGGGTAGCATGATACCTCCCACTTTGTTCTTATTTCTCAAGATTGCCGTGGCTATTCGGGGTCTTTTATGGTTCGATATAAATTTTAGGATTATATGTTCTATTTCTGAGGAAAATGTTCTTGGTAGTTTGATAGGAATTGCATTGAATCTATATATTGCCTTAGGCAGTATTGACATTTTAACTATATTAATTCTTCCTGTCCATGAACATGGTATGTATTTCCATTTATTTGTATCTTCTTTGATTTCTCTCTTCAGTGTCTTATAATTTTCTGAGTACAGGTCTTTTACTTCTTTGGTTAAATTTCTTCCTAGGTATTTTATTGTTTTTGAAGCAATTGTAAATGGGATTGGTGTCCTTATTTCTTCTTCTGATAGTTTATTATTGGTGTATATAAATGCAATTGATTTATGAATATTTATTTTGTATCCTGCTACCTTACTAAATTCATTTATCAGTTCTAAGTTTTTTGGGGAGTCTTTGGGATTCTCTCTATATATTATCATGTCATCTGCATATAATGATAATTTTACTTCCTCCATTCCAATTTGGATGTCTTTTATTTCATTTTCTTGTCTGATTTCTGTGGCTAGAACTTCCAGAACTATGCTGAATAGATGTGGTGAAAGTGGGCAGCCTTGTCTTGTTCCTGATTGTAAGGGGTAAAGCTTTTATCCTTTTCCCATTGTGTATGATGTTTGCTGTGGGCTTATCATATATGGCCTTTATTGTGTTGAGATATGAACCCTCTGTTCCCACTTTGCTAAGAGTTGTTTTTGTTTTGTTTTTTAAGATTTTTATTGGGGAATTGGGGGATGGGAACAGCGCTGGGGAATTGGGGGAAGGGGAACAGACAAGTTGCTGTCCTTTTGTTCTTCAGTCTAGTTGTGGAGGAAGTTGCTTCACTGGCCCAAGCGCTCTTCCCGGGCAAGGCAGATCAGTTGCCAGCTTCTGGACGGCCGCTCACAGCAGCTGCTGGCCGCTCACGCTGGCTGCTGGCTACACACGGTAGCCCATGGCAACCCACTGCAGCAGGGGCTGCAGCCTACGCCGCCACTGGCGACTCATGGCAGCCCAGCTCCAGGTTGAGCTGTTGTTCAGCATCTTAGCTGTAGAGGGCAGTGTCACTGGCCCTCATATGTGGGATCCGAACCAGGGCCCTCTGACATCCCAAGCTAGCTCTTAACCAATGTGCCACTCGGCCAGCCAAGTGGCTAAGAGTTTTTATCATAAATGGCTGCTGGATTTTGTCAAATGCTTTTTTCTGCATCTATTGATATGACCATATGTTTTTTATTTTTCATTTTGTTAATGTGATGTATTATGTTAATTGATTTGTGGATACT